TGAGGGTGCGCGGTGGGCGTGTGCACAAAACTTCGTATGACTCTTCATGACATGTGTTTGGGGGAATGTGGGGTAAATCCTAGGGTGCAGAAGCTCACACAAGCTGCCATAATTGCACGTAACAAACTGGCACGGTTTGCACGCAAAGCGTGCATGTTGAGTTTAGCATGCGCAGTGTGTGTGTCCACGAAACTTCGTATGGAGCGCACTTAAGTTGCACTCCGTGTGCACTTGTTTTGGGGAACATTGGGAAAATTGTACGGTGACTCTTCGTGCACACGTGTTTGGGGGAACGTGGGGTAAATCCTACAATGTACAAGCACGCACAAGCCGCCATAATTGCGTGTAACAAACCGGCACTGTTTGCGAGTGAATCGTGTGCATTAGTGAGCGCGTGCAGTGCGCGTGTGCACGAAACTTCCTATGGAGGGCAGTTAAGTGGCACTTTGTGCGCACGTGTTTGGGGGAACGTGGGGAAAATCGTACGATGCACAAATGCACACAAGCCGCCATAATTGCACGCAATAAACCGGTACGGTTTGCATGTGAATTGAGCGCATTGAGTTGAGCACGTGCGGTGCGTGTATGCACGAAACTTCATACGGATGGCACTTTAGTGGCACTTCGTGCACACGTGTTTGGGGGAACGTGGGGCAAATCGTATGGTGCACAAGTGCGCATAAGCCGCCATAATTGCAATTAACAAACTGGCGCAGTTTGTTTGCGAATAGCGCATATTGACTTGAGCGTGCACGGTGCTCGTGTGCACAAAACTTCGTACGGAGGGCACTTAAGTGGCACTTCGTGCACAAGCACAAGTGTGTACAAGCCACCATAATTGTGTGCAATAAACATGCACGGTTTGCATGTGAATCACGTCCATTGAGTTGAGAGCTCGCGGTACGCGTGTGCACGAAACTTCATACAAAGGGCACTTAAGTGGCCCTTCGTGCACACGTGTCTAGGTGAACATGGGGCAAATCGTTCAGTGCACAAGGGTGACAACCCTAAAATTCTTGAAACTGAAAATCATAATAATAATGTTAATAGTAATAGATACAAATAAAATTATTGTAATAATAATAATATTAAATAAATAAATAAAACTTACATAAAGAAATAAGTTTATAGTAATGATAGACCATCGGGATCATTCTTTTAGCATTTTTTAAAATATTTCAAATGTCATAATATTAAAAAAAAGAAAATAGATGGTCCAATCTCTTTTGGGTGGACCTAAAGTCCACCATCAACTGATCCTAAGCTTTTACACGAGAAGGTTGTTGCCATTTACGTGGCAACAAAATGTATATTTTATTGACCCCTCTTACTAGAGGTGTCACAAAACCCTCTCTCTCTCATATTAACTCTTTCCCTCTCTCCTATTTGGATCTCCTATTCTAAGAGTTTTACGTATTTTTGTATTAAATTGTAAGTGGCATCATTCTCCTGAAAAATACTTCGCTTTTAATAAAATGATTATTTCTCTATATTGTTAAGAATTTAGACACTGAAAATTATTAGAAACAAAAATTAATTATTCATCTACATTGTTATGAATTTAAGAAACTATAAGTTTAGGTAAGTGATCACATTATCCTGTAACACAGTTATTTGAAAATTGATATTTCTGCTTTTAGTAAAATTATGATATTCCGTTTATGGTGATGAATTTTCGATACTGTAAACTATGGTATTTATTCTTTCAATAGTAAAATTGTGATATTTCGTTTATGGTTATGAATTTTCGATATGGTATTTACCCTTTCAATAAGATTGTAATATTTTTGTTTATTGTTATGAATTCTAGATATCATAAGTTTATGTATAAGTGCCTTCATCTTTTTTTTAAATCAGTATTTGAAGAAAATTGATAATTCTATAATATTCCGAGAGATATTTCTGCATTTAATTATAATATTTCTGATACCGTAAGTTTTACGTATTTCTGTATTTAATTGTAACATTCGCAGCATAAACTTTGAAAGCATGCAAGAGTTTTGAACAAGTGCTATGTGCAAGTGTTATGTCCAAGAGACAGTACAAATGTTATGTGCAAGTATTATGTGCATTTATGCATAATTGTTATATGCAAGAGTTTTGTGCAAGTGATTGTTATAAATTGCTTTATGTGGATATATGTTAATAATTTCAAGAATAATTTAAAAATATGATATTAAAGTTTCTTGATATCTACAATATTGGTATGTGGTCTACAATTAATAAGGTCTTTTGAATTTATATGTATGATAATACGATATAGTGGTGTTACTCATGACTATATGTGTAGCATATATATGGTTATATTTCTTGTGATTACATATGAGACATGCTTCTTATGAAATACGTGCACATGGCAACATGCTTCTAATAAGATATGTGTTCAGGGCAACATGCTTGTGATAAGATAAATGCGCATGGAAACATGCCTCTGATGAGATATTTGTGCCGGCAGTTGTGATTTTTCCTAACTCTCTATGATAGGATGAGAGTTAGCAGTGTGTGTTTGAAGGGTCGCGCCCCTAATATCTATGTGATGGCACTACTCATTGGAACCTCTTTGGTAGTGTAACGCCCTCTCGCCAGAAGCACACATGAGACGGTTGTCTTGCAAGGCCCCTACCTATCAAAATCCCCAAAGCGCGTTGAGAACTGCGTGCGTATGTGAGGCACTATGCAATGGATTTTCCCGTTGGTGGTGCTTCTTCATATGGGATAGTAGAAGTTCTAACCTTGGATCCAAGGCTTGGGACCCGAGGTTAGTGCTTCTATTGCAGGATTTGTGTTGTTGTGAATGCACGTTGATCTTATTTTTATTGTTGTGAATGCACGTTGATCTGATTTTGTTTTTGTGAATGCGTGTTAACGATGCCTGATGCTCAAATGCAACAATGCTTAACACTACTTCAATTAGATTATAATTGATCCTGATATGAATACATGACATGTGTGAGATTAGAAATGAATTTATTTAATGACATGTATTAGAATGAAATCGATACTCTGAAATTCTGCTTAATATGTATTGTTTAAGAAATAATTGCATATCTAGCCATGATTTGTAAGGATAATGATGGTCACTTACTGAGTAGCCATACTCATCAAGCTATTATGAAATTTTTTTTCAAAGTAATCGCAGCCGTATCATTCATATGCACGCTAGTTTTGAAGAAATTTGTGGTCATGACTAAATTTCCCTTTGTAACTATTGATCAAATTCACAATTGTAATTTTTGTCCTATCAAAGGATGTGTAAATCTAGACCTTCATGTTAATATCGGTTGCGAGTAGACCTCGTACTAATTTTTAAAAATTGAAAAATCCGTGTTGGTGCAATATATAAATAAAATTTTGAATTTGTTCTACATATAGTATAAGAATAGTCTGTTTCACCTAATAAATGTTAGTGTTATAAAACTTCGGGTGTGACAACAAGTGCACACAAGCCTCAATTGCGTGTAACAAACCGCCACAGTTTGTGCCCGAATCATGTGCTTTGACTTGAGCGCACACGATGCGTGTGTGCACGAAACTTCGTATGAATGACACTTAAGTGGCACTTCGTGTGCGTGTGTTTGGGGGAATGTGGGGCAAATCGTACGGTACACATGTGTGCATAAGCCACCATACAACAAACCGGCACGGTTTGTGCACGAATCGCACGTGTAAGTTGAGCACGTGCGGTCCGCGCGTGCACGAAACTTCGTACAGAGGGCACTTAAGTCACACTTCGTGCACACGTGTTTGGGGGAATGTGGGGAAAATCGTACGGTGCACAAGTGAGCACAAGCCGCCATAATTGCACGCAACAAACCGACACGGTTTGCATACGAACTACAAGTGTTGAGTTGACCACGCGCAGTAAGTATGTGCACGAAACATTGTACGAAGGGCACTTAAGTAGCACTTCGTGCGCACGTGTTTGGGGGAACGTGGGCCAAATCGTACAGTGCACAACTGCGCACAAGCTGCCACAATTGTGCGAAACAAATCGGCACGGTTTACGGGCGCACTGCGTGCATTGAGTTGAGCATGCACGGTGCACATAACTTTGTACAGAGGGCACTTAAATGGCATTTCATGCACACGTGTTTGGGGGATCGTGGGGCAAATCATATGGTGCACAAGTGCGCACAAGCCACTATAATTGCGCGCAACAAACCAACACGGTTTGCGTGCGAATCGCACGTGATGAGTTGAGCGCACGCGGTGCGCGTATGCACAAAATTTCGTACGTAGAACACTTGAGTGACACTTCGTACGCATGTGTTTAGGGGAACGTGGGGTAAATCATACAGTGCACAAGCTGCCATAATTGCACACAACAAACCAGAACGGTTTGCACACGAACCGCGTGTGTTATGTTGAGTGCACGCAATGAACGTCACGAAATTTCGTATGGAGTGCACTTAAGTTAAGGCAAATCGTACGGTGCACATGTACAAACAAGCCACCATAATTACGCACAACAAATTGATATGGTTTACGCAAGAATTGTGCACGTTGAGTTGAGCGCACGCAGTGCATGAAACTTCACACAGATGGCACTTAAATGACATTTTGTACACATGTTTGGAGGAGCATTGGGCAAATCGTACGGTGCACCAGAACGCACAAGCCGCCATAATTGCACGCAACAAACTGACACAATTTACAGACAAACCACACGTATTGAGTTGAGCACACACGGTATGCATGTGCACAAAACTTCATACCTAGGGCACTACATGCCCCATATTATACATCTACTCCCTCGATAGACCTATTTGAGAGGAATTCTTCAATTTAAAATTTTGGTAAAGAATCACTACATGATCTTTTTTCAAAAGAAAACAATTGAAATTTGAGTTTTCTTATGCTTGGCCTTGGATCTCATCAGGTGGGAATTGAACAATCTCGATACAACTTTTTTTTCAAATATGCAAAAGGTGCAATTAGGAAAAAAAAAAAATTTAAATTATTGTTTGGGTCGTTACATCTCAAAAATTTAGAGTCTTAAGTAAATCCTAAATTGGCTTTTATTCAAAAGAGTCGTATAATCCAACAATAGTGGTACAAAAGACGTCCACGAAAAATACAAGTGTCAACAAATGATTTAAAAGACAGGTCGATGAATGAATCGACAGCTTGAATCACCGTTTTACCATGTGGAAAAAATAATGAACCGTATAAACAAATACAAAAAACACTGAACATGCCAAAACCTACTCTGAATAGATGTACCTACGATCCTGATCGCTATTTTACTATTGAGTTGTTGTTTTACTGTGCAAACTGTCGGTTCCCTTCAAGATTCATCCGTTTTTCAATACATACACAAAACCAAAATAGGACAACCGATTCCTATGCCAGATCCGACAATTCCATGCACTGTCTCAACAATACCTCATCCTCATAAAAATATTCTCATGTTTATATACTGTCTCAATAAGAGTAACCTCACTCTCGATGAGTAAGAGTCGATTTGTTGGCATCTTCATTGTCCCGGCAAGACGGCGTCAATGGAGACGAGACAGCTGCATGAAAGGAGGAAGCAGCAAGTTGTGATAAAGCTGGTACCGCACCACCTGCATAACCCAAGCAACCATGCAACTAAAACAAAGGTTAAATCAAAAAACGAGAGAGAGACACGGAGTTCATGACAAAAATTATTTTGATTTTGGAACTTAAAGAATTATACTGCATATTTCATGCTCAAATCCCACATTTTGTGATCATTTAGTATTATTTAATTTTATTCTTTTTTTGTAGATAATGTTTCAAAGTTGTAGTGTTCATACTTCTCACCATCACGCACTTGTAAAACTACAAAAAATAATTTGAAAGAACTAAAATTACCATAATACCCTTAAATCCAATAAGGGTATATTGATCATTTTATTATTGAACTATTTTTTGTTGTTTTTACGAGTGACTAATATGAAGAACTATAGCTGCCCCAAATCTGTGCTCAATCCAATGTACAGAAGAAATAAATTGAAATACACCACACACTCAAAAAAAGAGGGACTTGAGCATAAAATATAAACGAAAAAATTTATATAAAATCTTGACCTTATATTGTAGAAATAAGGTGCACCTCAAAAATCTTTAAAAGGTCGTCTCAATGTTGAAAAAGCTCACGATTGATCATCTCAACCTCGAGATACATGGATTGCACATATTGTAGCATATTATCTAAACCATCCATTTTCAAAACTTTTTAAGTGTTTTTAGGTATGCTTGATCTACATCATTTTTCAAGCGTTAAATTTTATAATTTTATAATTTGGTTTGAAAATAGATTTTTATGTCATCAAAAAGGCAAAACTACATCTTTTACCAAGTTTTAGAGGTCTACCTTATTTTGATTGTTTAAGGCTGACATCTTATACAAAACATACCCAAATACAGAAGGGACTATATGCTATGAGATTTACTTTTGTTATAAAGAAGTCACGATCATTTTTAGCCATTAGATATGAAATCCAATAGATTAAAGTGTAACACAACATTTGAGAAATTTTATTTTCGAAATTTGTACCCAATCAATGATACATCATCAACCACCGGATTTTAAATCCAATAGTCAATAATGACAGTGACCTCCTTTTATCAAAAATAAATGGTCTCATTGTATACATTTCCAATATAAAATATAGGAAAAATTAAATGGGATTATTCTGTAAAATTCCCATGAGAAGAAAAAATATTTGTTCAATCCTTTCAAAAACAGGAAAGATCGAACTACAAATAGATGACCAATATGAGAAGTCCACATTAGAATTTCTCATTGTGTGTGTGCGCTTTCTATGTCTGAGAGGGTGAAGAATATGAATCAACCATTTGTTTTTTTTTTTTTGGAAGCGTAACATGAATCATTAAGGGAAAGGTTTGATTTGCCTGCAAGTCCAGCACAAGTCGAAGAGAAGAGTATAACTGGTGGGGCCTGAAATCACAATTAGACAATACAATTGAAATTGTATGAGGAATAAGATAAGTAGCATGTAGTTTATCAGTTTCCGGATTTGTTGAAAAAAACCTTGATTCTTGTGATATAAATCATTAGTAATATATATGCAATAATTAGCTATAAGCTAAAAGACGACGTATGCTAAAAAACAAAGAAATCAAGTAAATAAATGCTCACAATCTTTTTAAACTGGTATCGATACAATAAGACCCTGATTTTGGTACCACTAACTCCTGGGATGTTAATAAACGTGAAATCATGGAATAAAGGAAACGTTTTTGGTGAGTCTATGGAGTCTTGCATCTGCCTTGGTCTTCAAGGGTTTTTGGACCTGCAACATATCCCAAATCACCGCAAATCCATTTCCAAGTGAAATCCATGAATCTGGATCTATACTAACAGATATAATTACCTTTGAAGATTGAATGAATGGTCCCAAACCAATATAAAAGATAGGCCACTTTGAAGGTTCAATTCCTTTTTCTTTTTTTTTTTCCTTCTTCAGATTCATGATTATGGTGGTTATGATAATAGACCTGTAGAGTTTTGGATCCCAAATCCATCTCCAAGATGGATTTTCAAAGGCTGGAATCACAAGAATAGATGTGTCCCAATAAGTACCTAGATATATTAATAAGATATTATGCATGATGAAAATAAATCTATCTAAAACAAAATATACTATGACAGACATATCATGTGATTAATCAAAACCTAGTTCTGTTTGCTTGTAAGACAAATTTTATGGCTTCCTCCGCCTGTGATTCATGTTTCAGTATGTGGTGAAGATTGGGATTTTTACAATGTTGGAGGCAATGACAGGGGCTTTCCCTTAAGAAGTAGAAAGGGTAGCTTTTGAATGAAATCCTACTTCATTTAAGGTAGGCTCAAGGAGATCTTTTGAGCAAGTCTGAGAGGAGGATGGATGAACCTAGCTTCTAAGTTCTTATTCCAGGCAATTTTATAGGACTTCAAAAGGAGAGAAGTGACAACCAAGATGATAGAAACACTACTTCGAAGATTCCCCAACCTGATGTTCTATTGATTGAAATTGAGCATATAGGGTTCTCTTGCCTAATTGAAATACTTTGCATTGCAGTTTTGTACTATTTCTAAATCTAGTAACAAACTCAACAACAAAAGTAAATAAAAACACAAAATACGTAAATGTAACTGAGACTTATCAGACAAAATCTCGATTTTGTATGCTTGTAATTTTAGTTCGCATAGCTAATAAGAAAAGATATTTAATTATGTAACATGAACTTTCATCGGAGTAAGCTGTCATCAACCAGTCTGTGCTAATTTGACTTGGCTTGAGAACTTGCTGAGTTTTTTGGTTTATCACACAACCTGCCTGAGTGGGCCAATAAAATGTAATTTTCGATTGTGACTCAGACAAGTCCGCATAAGACTCACCCTAGTAAAGTCAATATGACTCGGCTGGGGGGTATGGTTTAATAAGCACAGCAACTGTTTGTATGAAGCATGATTTGATATGATGTCTCTGTTGATATCTTCAAAAGATCATTGGCTTGGGATTACCAAACCTACCGACTTATAAACTTTTCATGCTCAGTTCCACCCCCAAGCGTGTAGGTAATCTTAAAGCCTATTGGTCTCATTGTGTTAGTTACTTGTTTGGTAACTCGTTTGTACCATTGATTGTAAATTGTCAATGTTACTTCTTATATTCTTCCATGCATGTGTTATTCTAATATTTTTTGTGTCGAGGCTATTAAAAGTTTATCACACTTTACAAAAACACACTAGACTAGCTCTTGCAGAGAATCTTAGAGTCTAGTGGCATTAGTTTGGTTAGTAACTTATTTGTATCCCTAACTACACACCATCTATGTTACTTGATATTCACCTATATGTCGTTTTCTAATATTTTGTGTCAAGGGTGTTAAAAGCCTCATACCCCTTACAAACATACACATGCACAAGCACATAGATAATGTGCTTGAGCTAATAAACTTGAATCTCATTCCTCCTAAAATCTCATAAAGGAGACCCAAGCTACTTAAACCAAGTCGTCATCAAAATTAAAATCCCTCCTTCTGGTAATTATCAGATCTATGGGAAGATCAATATTCATTAAAATAAATGAATTATATTAATTTCATAATATACAAAAGATTAAGTTTAGTTCACATAATATCTGAAGACCTATAATTAGGCTATCAGATCAGATTCTACCTAGGGGAGATGTTCCACGCATGAAATCAGAAAGCATTAAACCAATGTACTAAAGGGCATCTCTTAAGCATCTAATGTCAACTAGCTAAATTCCTAGGAACATCTTAAACTTCAGAGAAAAGGAAAATCAGGTTGGTCAAAGGAATCAGGTTATTTAATAAAAAAACATTAGTTTCCTTGATAAAATAAAGGAAACTCAAAGCAGTAAGAGGAGTAAATTTCATCAAGTACAGCATAAAACCGTAAAACTTTCATATACTTACGCCAACAAGGAAATGCACCCACATAGGCCCTTTAATCCATTTTTGTACGATAGGCATCGCTGCAAGCAAAAAAGAAAAAAAACAAATTCATCAAAAAAATGAAGCTGACAAAAGTATACCACCTACTCCTGTATTTATAGCCCTATGAGACATGCAGATCTCAAGATTTACTTCTCATAAATAACAATAAACGGAAGAGAAATCTAACACCATTCCATGTGATTTCAGCACATTCAAGAAAAGACTAAGAAAGTATGCGAGAAGTGGAATGTTCGATTAAATATTTATAAGACTACAATGGAATAGAACAAACGCAAAAACAAGCAGATGAGATTCAAAGGTGAATGTAATTTTCAAACTTTAGTTTGAATGAAAGCATGCAACTAGATTAGAGCAAATAAAATTACTTCCAGATGCTCGATTCACTTGATACTCGTATTGTTTACTAAGTACAATACCACCAAACAATGTTTCAAAAAGTGCTAGGCGGCACCAAGGCAGCCGGGGTGTCCAGGGCACCCAGTGCTTAGGCAAGCACCCAAAACCTGGGCAGCCCAATAGAAAGAAAAGAATTGTAGGGTTTTTGTCTCTCTAAAATAGGCTCCAATGGGTTTTAGGTTTGAAATGAACCCAAAACCCACAATTTTGCCCCTTTATTACTAAAAAAATGATCAAAAAATGCCCTCAACGAAGGTCATTTCCACCCCTAGAGAGGCGCAAGACCTGAGGCGCAAGCCCTGGGTGGCCGCCTAGGCTGGTTCAAGAGGCCGCCTTGGTAGGTTCCCGGGCGCCCAGGGATGTCCGCCATAAAGTGGCAAGAAGGCTGGTCTTAAGGTCGATTTATGAATATCCCCATATTGCAAGCAACAACTTGAGGCCTTACAGATATTGTCAAGGACAAAGAAATAAAAAAACAAGTATAAAAAAAGGACACAAGTTAAGTCGATTGTCATAACTGCTCAATCTTACCAAAGAAATGGACATGATCAATCAAACTATTTAACTATATTTGTCACTAGAGAGCATAAATCCATATCTCCTAGTGCCAGCACTTGTTCCTAACTCCCTATCTCCTAGACTCGTCAGTAATTCAGATCTCCACAGGCTAACAACAAATCCTCTCTCTCTTTTCTCTACTATGAAGGTCAAGTTCAGGTTCTTGGATCTGTGGTTAGGGTGTAAGAGCTGCAACACAGAATTCGGGGCTAAAATAGAATACTATAACAACTAAATTCATATTGCATGCATTCCAACATGGAACTAGGACTCATCTTATGTGTTATAAACTAGGCTCTTCCTCTATGTTATTGTACAGTTTTCACAGCTTGCTTTCCTCCCCAAAAAATATCGAGAGCAACCCCTATAAATAAATGATCGCTTGGCACCTCTTAGAGAACAAAAGAATATAGATCACCCCAATCAGGAGTCTATGGTAGGACTACATCTGGACCGTACTGCATATAGCCTCAAGCGCCCTCCCTTTTGGACTCACAAAAACCACCAGTTATCTATGTGACCCTGCTCATTATTCTAGTATCCAAGTCCACACATGATCGCCTCATGGAACAACTCGGGAAAAAAACACAAGGTCAGAAAGAGATTTCTAGAGACCTTTAGATCGGAAATAAACTTTACAAGTTGCATAGAGACTGTCCATATCCTCGATAGCCTAGTTGCTGATTTCCTTTATCTTAGAACTAAGTAGCCTCTAGACACAATACATTTGAGGATTGAGCCAGGTGTTTTCTTGCTGTATAGATATTTTGATCACTTGTTTACAGTAACTGTGTTTACCATGCCTTTTTGCCATGATCAATCTACTGATTGCAAAGGAGGAAAATTTTCAGCAAGTTATGAGAAAAATATAAACCCCTATGGTCTCAAAACGATGTTTCCTTTTATATATTCTTTATATACATTTATATATATATATATATATATATATATATATA